CTGAGCCATCTCCCCAGCCCAATACAAATATTCTTACTGTGTGTACTTTGAGTAAGTACAGAAAGAACAATATTGTGAAACAGTATTTTTTTCTCTGTAATGTTAGGCCCAGGTCCTCAGTGTGAGCTCTTTTTACAATTTAACTCAGAAACAAGCTATAAAAAAAAACTTTGACTACACAATGTACAGCTGACTATGTTGAAGTTCTTTTAGTTATACTAATATGAATTTCTTATAATTTAACCAATATGAATGTCCATATCATGAGATAGTTAGGATATATTGCCTGAAAGACCCATCAGTTACATCCCTTGATGCTTTAATTGGTTGATAGGTTTTTTTTGTTTGTTTGTTTGTTTTGTTTTTTTTGGTTGATAGGTTTGAAAAGATACTCTGAAGCCTTTCTGTAGTTAATGCAGAGTCCTAGTTCTTAAGACAAATTCATCATAGGCTGAATATAAACACTTTTTTTTTTTTAAGGTTACAAACGTTTGTATTTTTTGGGAGATTAGTATTAGAATAGAAGCCAGGAGCAGTGGTGTTTATTAGTCCTAGGTTCTTGGCAAGCTGAGGGAGGAGGATTTCTTGAGCCTAAGAGTTTGAGACTAACCTGAGCAATGTAGCAAGATTTTATCTAAACAACAAAAAAAGTTACAAAGAAAGAAATTTCTATTAAGCAAGAGGTCTTTTATGGTTCTCAAAGAACAGAGCTATAGAAAACTCTACTTAGACTAAGGTTATGGCACTTGGATTTCCTTGTAACTATACCAGCTTTTGCTGCTTATGTCTTGTCTTACAATTAGAAGTGACAGGCAAACCATTGCTGACTTCATTGAATTTGTCTACTATGAAACCAACTGGTGATAAGCATTGTTTTCCTTAAATATGAAAGAAGACAGTTCTACCATAATTTTACTCTAGAGAATTTTCCCTTGATTATAATTGGATGGCTCACAAGGGAAAGTTCTAATGCCATCAAAATGATGAATTCAAGAAGAGTAATACTGGAGTGCATTTGCGTGGGTACTGAGGTGTCTGTGTTTACAGTAGGTCTACATGTTCTGTTCTCTGATGTTGTCATAGTGCTGTGTATAAACTGTGGTGTGTCAGGAATTGGGGTATCAAATGGAACTCTACTATGGGTACAATTTATGTTAAATTGTAAATGATGTAGTATGGGGTACTGTGATATTTAAAGTGATCATTGACTTTTCTGCTGTACAATATGACCCTTCTCATCTCTCTCATTCATTTTGCATGCCTCTGCTCACTTCTGTACAGCCACAGTTGAGGCTATTGAGGCTGAAAAAGGTACGATCAGAGTCCTTATGCTGGGCAGAGATCTGTGGTGTGTGGGTGGGCATCAGAGAATGTCCTATGGGTATATCTTATTCCTAGCTTGCACAACCCCAAGATGAATCATACTCACTGACAGGTTTAACAGTCACATTCCTTTTTTTTTTTTTAAATCACAAAGATTGATGTCCCTAATGACGGTCTGTTTTAAATATACATCCATAATTTAATGCTGATTTTTTTTAGAAGATAAATGTTAACATTTATTGTTGCCTATTTCAATGGAAACTACTAAATATAACTCTGCAAATAGAGATCTACTCTATATTTTTGCATGATCATCTGCTACTTAGGTTTTTTTCCCATAAGTGAAACCTCTAGAAAAACATGTGAGTTTGTTTTTACTCATTTTCAGTAATGTGCCTGCAAGTGCAGGAACTGTCACAATAATGATTTTGGGGGGCAACTTAGGCTATAATTTACTAATAAAATTATATTTATGTAAATTATTTTATGACTTGATATTACATATTACTGAATGTTCTGCTGTCTCAGCCATTTGGTTCATATGCACAGACTGAGTCTCAGGGATTGCATATATTAAGTAACTAGAGTATAGCTAGAACTGTGGAAATCTTTAGTATGAACAATTTAATAGTGGAGGGAGCATCGTTCCAGATGAAATGAATGAGTCCATAGCAGTTGGTGAAGGAGTGTTCTTTATTTTGATTTTATTTCCTGAAGAATTTGTAGTAAATTAAGAAAAACATCTAAAATATAAAGCCATAAGTTGTTTTTGCTCTTGGTCAAATACAAATTTAACTCTTGGAGACATTTTCTACCTTTTTCTTTGCATATTGGCGCTGATGGGTAATGTCCTCCAAGCTAAGTCTAATGTACTAAATTTTAACATAACTTTACCACTTTCTCCTCCTGAGCTGTTGGTATAGATTTATATGTTGAGGATTAACCTTTTTTAGCCTCCTCACTTAGCCTACTCTCATTGCTACCTTACTGTGATAGTCACTGATGATCTTACGATCTAAAGTAGGAAATAACTGATACAGAAGTTGGACTTATATCCTGAGACCATTGCTTGGAGTTTGATTTTGTAGGCAGGGAAGGATCATTTTTGTGTGTTGTTTTGTTTTATCCTAACATTTTTCATCTGTGAAGCTATCATGTTTATATTTAGGTTTAAACATTCACATTTTAAGGGAAAGACTGGAATAGGGTTAGAATTTAGTTAAAGTAAGATTTAAATGTTGCTCCTTACAGCTATTTTCTTTCTTCTTAAAAAAAATTATGTTTGTTTTTTAAATCTCAGAGTTGTTTACAATTACTGACTTATCAAATTTGCATTTTGTTAAGCAATACGAGGATTCTCTCCACCACATAGAATCTGCAGTTTTGAAGAGGCAAAGGGTTTGGATAGGATCAATGAGAGAATGCCACCCCGGAAAGATGCTGTACAACAAGATGGTTTCAATTCTTTGAACACCGCACATGCCACTGAGAACCACGGGACTGGCAACCATAGTGCCCAGTGACCATCGACTTCCCAGGGACTCTCACAACTCGGGCCACAAATGGACAAATCACCCGAGGAGCTGGAGGGGTTGGCCAAGCTGACTATAAATGTTACAGTCCCCTCTGAAGAAAACCATTGTGCTTTTTGAGTCCCTAGCCCCCTTCCTGGATGGAGGCTTGAGGGCCCTGGGACATGTTGTGCTATCTGATAAGTTTGGGTAATCGCTGCCAAGGTGGAGAGTAGTGAGCAAGGGGCTTGGGGCAATTCCCAAGTGGAGGGTATCTGCAACCTCCACTTATGCTTGTGGTTCACACATTTAAGTTTACAAATGAGATTTCTTTTTTCCCCTCAGTAGACTTAGATACTTTTTTTCAATCATTACTTCAAAT